AAATCAAATTCCATGTAACCAATCAATCGTTCAATCAACAATTTTAAAGGTTTTAAAGTATCTTTAATCATACTTAATCTTTTAAATAAACTTGTAAATTGTGTTTTTTTTAGAATTCGTGCAAATTTGTAGAATTCTTCTTTTATTTTTAGAATTAATGGCGTTTTATCCATGGTGCATTGGCTAATTTCCTTTTTACGACTTTTATCAGCCGCATTTGCGTTTTAATGTATTTTCCTACTTCTCTCTTTTTTTTTGGCATATTTTCCTTTGTCTCTTTGGCCAGACTCCACTTTGATGATTTATGTGGAGATTTCTTTGAATTCGTTCGTCCTCCCTCGTGGTCCCCTCGCAATGCGCTGCATTTGGCGTTAAAAATATTTCCAACTTGCCATAAATTTTATTGTGTTTTGACAAGTAATAAAAATGCAGGCCACAGACCGAAAGTAAAAAAATTTATGTATTTATGTAAATACATAAAATATAAAATAAAATGCAAATGGAAATGCAAAAAAATGCATTTCGAGGGAAATAAGAAAATATATAATAGAAATGGAAATGGAAGAAGGGGAGGAAACCTAATTTGCCTTTTATGTACCCAAAAGTGTTCGCTAAAGCAGCAGAAAGACGTTGACAAATGTAATTTTTGGTTATTCGTCTTCGGTCTGTGGTCTGTAGTCTTCGTTTTCGTCTTTGTTGAAAGATTTATTAATGGAATGTATTTGCTTTCGATGCCAGATGGTGTTCCTCAATGTGTTTCTTTCCATTCAGAGCTAATTAGCATCATCAATTTGCCGAGTTGTGTATGATCAACGTTTTGTCTTTAGACCATAACCAAATGAAGTTATCTCTCAATGGATGGGATTGTAAATAAAAATCATTAAAACCGAAATCTCTATAAAACTAGATTTAAGATTCTATTGAAAACGGCTACTTTATGTCGTTTTTATTTCAGTTTGGGTTTGTTTGGTTATTAGTGGGGCATAAAAGTTACGCCAACGTTTCGAGCGTTGAGTTATCGAAATTTTATGGTTGGACTACCCCGTCTACGATCTGAGTGGGTAGTACGAATATATAGGTATGGGATGGAGTCCGAAGCCTGAAGCCGTTTTCGGTGTAGAGAGAGTATTTAGGAAGATGAGCCTTTTCCCGATTGTTCATTTACGGCATTGGAGGGCTAAGAGTTCCGAGCCTGTTTCGATTATTGCAGGGCACCCATTGAAAGTCCGTCTGAACAAATTCCTTGCCTTGCAGCGTTATCTCTTCAGGGGCTCTCTCCACTCAAGCATTTAATGGCCGTATTTTCCATTAGCTTGTTTATATAAAAAAACTTCGCAGATCAACTGCACAAGCTCTCTTGCATAATCGACAATATATTACCCACACACACGCAAACGAGCAGACATACGCGAGCAGACACTTGGAGGAAAAGTTTTTCAATTTTCCAAAGACCCAAACACTCCTCTCGCACACAGAAACAAATCCGAAACGCTGCGTGTAATTATCATAAAGCGAAATCTCGTAGCGCCAATATGAAGCTCATAACTTGTCCAAGACCCAGACTCCATGGTTGGACCAGAGTTGGAGGTTGTCCGTGCGATTGGGTCTGAGGCTGGAGTCGGAGCTCTCCCCATTTGGCGCGGTTCATAACGATGTAACTTTCAATTTGCGTAATTTTCAAAGTGACTGCGAGGATGAAGCGTGGCCAACTGATCCCTCACCTAATGACTTCTCCCTTGTGATGCTATGGGAAATGGATGCCCGAAAGTCCAAGAGGAGGCCGAACATCTCATAGAGAGGGGCGTGGCGGTGCTGTGTGCTTGTGCGTGTGTTGAGGTGCACGCTTGTCATAAAATGCCGCTTATTATGTTGGCTATTCATTTTTACAGCCTGGACGCGGTTGCGGGACCCAAGGCCCACAAGAGCGTGGTTCTGGGATCGCCTGGACTGGGGGACTCTGCAGAAAGTCTAGAGATGGAATCGATTGGGCTGGGCGGGGTATTCTTGAGCCATTAATGGTACACATTAAAAATGGATATCCATGGACTCTAAATGGTTGGTGATCAATCGGGATTTGTACAAAACATTTGGGCTGGAAACTATTGTTTTATCATCTTTATTTGTTAACTATCGTATTGATCGTCTGCCTTCACTGATCCACTCACGCTGACGCTACCATCCCTATCTCCGCGTCGAGCGCTCCTAGTCGAAGAAATCTTGTTGGCGCTCCACGGCAATTTATGACAAGCAGGCAACGCTTCTTCTTCCTTGGCCATGGTCATGGCAGTGGACCCCGGTCGGGTCTCTCTCATATCGCGGCTTCTATCGCAGATGTACAAATTTATTTTTGCGTTTGGATGGAGCAGAATGTAGTGGAGTGGAGGCAAGGAGTCCGGGCGGCCCATCATTAGTACTAACAAGCGACATTACGTGGCTTTAGTTTGGGGCTAGTTTTCGGAATGCGTATTTGATATGGTCTTGGTCTCTGAGCTCTGAGCTCCAGTCCTAGCCTTTGTCTCTCGTTCGGGTATGTTTATTTAATGAGAACTTTTGTGCAATTTTTATTGCCCCACTCTGTTCTCGAGTACTTATCGTATTTTCGATTTTGCATTGGTTTATATTAGTATTCGAAGTAATCATACGAGTCGGTCAAACGCTAAGCGAATTCCAGAAATTGGCTTTGATTGTTATGCGAATGGGCCTGTGATTGGTCCCCGACCACCTTACATACGATTACGTAGCTAATGGGTTTATTCTCCCGATTCGATTGCCCTGTGTCCTAGTCCTAGGAGTAAGCACACATTCGACTAATCTAATCTGATTGATCTGTACATGAGCATTTCACTACTTACTCCACGCATAACTCGGTTTAATGATCCGCGATATAAATTACATACCTGAAAGATGGAAAAGAGAATACAAATTTATTAGGTGAATGCAATTTGTTAAGGTTTTTATTGATAAAAGATTGAAATTACTCGAAAGTTCTACAACTTAAACAATACCGGAAGTACAATGGACTACAGATTTCCTACAGAAAGGCTACAACTAGCTCGTGTGGAAATTATTGCTGACTGCCAAGACTATTCAGTGACTGGACAATTGTTCACTTTTATTGCTGGCGTTTTCATGCTGTTGCATAATCAGAGACTGTATCTGTAGGATACTCTGCCACCTTGGCGTCGCTTCCCCCATTGTCTTCAACCCTTCCCATTGGGAGTGCACCCATCTTTCCCCTCTTCCCTTTCCCCGCCATCACTCAGCAGATCCCTGGGAGAGTCAGCACTGGGCCATCTATATAAAGTAAACATATTAATTACGAAAAAAGCCAAAGCAACTTTGACTTTACTTTACGACTTGTTTCTCCTTCAACTTTTCAGGTAAACTGGCGGCACAACTCTCCTCGCTATTTACGGCCGATATGATGTTGTGCCTGACTTGCAATATAATTAAATACAAATAACCATTAAGATATACGAAGAGCTCAGATGCAAGTGGAACTTGACTTGGTGGCCGGCAAGCAGCTCCATTTGTGGCTGCGAGCATGGATCAGGTCGGGCCGAAAACATAATTTAAGTTTTTTAATTAAAAGCCGCCGACTTGCTCTGAGAGATGGTTTTCCAGCCGCGACATTTATGAATTGAGACGTTAATTGTCATCTACTCCATTATATTCGGTAGATGGGACCTCATGCCCGTCAATTGTCGGGACAGGCCTGTCCCATGAAATTGTCAAAAAATATCTATCAAAATATATCTTTGATAGGCAGACCAATATGAATTTTCATACTTAATTGACAGTTTGGGGCTGGACTCAAAGAGAGTGCGAGTGCCAGAGACAGTGCCAGTGCCTGTCAGTACTACCAATTCCATTAGCGAGGCTTGTCGGCAAAGTATCCATAGTAAAGTATGCACAAATACCCTTTGATCGGAAAAATATGTATTGGTTTCGCGGATTCTTGGTTTCTTTTCACTGTCTTTGGGACTGTATCTGTCCCAATATTTTACTCTTTGATCTTTATAATGGTACATATGTATGTATGGTTATATGGTATCCCTTAGTCTAGGCCCAGCATATTTTTAAAATTTACGAGTGTCTCAGGTCTCATTCCGCCGCCTGGCTTTGGGGCGTTTTGGTGTCTGTCGCTTTACTTAATGGCAACATGTTTTACAACATTATTAGACAGCCCGAAATGGAAGCCAGTTTTTTTGCTTTTCTGTTTTGGGCCAACAACTGGCCAATTTTAATTACCAATATTTTCCAGGTGTCGATACCCACTCGACCCACGCCATGGGCAGCATTTTGCATTTTATGACAGGCCATAACCCACAGGCAAATACACCCAAACAACACTCTCATACTCGTATAGAAAAACATATATTGGGAGAAGCCCACTCTTTATGGTAGCTGCTGTCTAATTAGCGTTTTGTGACAACCACAGAAAAAAAAACTTTGAAATAGTTTTGTAATTGGTAAACATTTGCCTGACCCGAACGAAAAGTTGAAATTAAATACAATTGTATTTATCGGCTTTAGGCTTAGCAAATTGATTTGTCGTCGCTGGCGTCTGGCAAGTGGGTGGGTGGTCTGGTTCCGGGTTCTCAGGTTTCACAAAATGGTATTCATTAAGAATTAAAAATATATTAGATAGTTATTAATGTTTCGGTGCAGCCAAATATAGATTCTGACAAGTCCAAGAATTCGCTTGGGGTGATTTCTTTTTCTCTATTGACGTGTAAATAAATGTGTGATAAGATTAGATAATTTTTGTAGCTTGATCGATTAGAACTAAATGTGAAATTTTTGTCAATTTATACAAGAAATCGATAGGGACATTAATACATATGTACCTATGTATATTAAATTTATAGGTGGATAAGTGCGGTGCTCCCTATTAATTGCCGAATATACAATATTTTTGCGCGTTTTGCGAGTAATTTCCAAGGATCCACTTGTCGTACTCTTTTATAATTTGTACAATGAAAGATATTTAAGAATTATGGTTTTAAATTTTTTAACGTATTTGTATTTCTTTTTATGGTTTTAAATAAAGTAAATTCGTGTATAAAAATAAATAAGCAATCACTTGTCATTGTCATAGAAAAGGCATCACAAGAAAACTGTGTCCACGACTGCATTAGGTTGCCTGTTCTCATCCATGGCCGAGCACTGGATCACTGCTCCGCACTTTTATCACATTTCTAGCAGTGATGGTGATGATGATGCGCTGGTGGACCATGGTGTCCATGATGTCCATGGTGTCCATGGTGTCCATGGTGTTCGTGGTGATGATGATCGAAGTGGTGTGGCGGCGGTGGTCCGTGGTGGTGGTGGTGGTGGTGATGATGATCGTAGTGTGGCGGCGGCGGTGGTCCGTGGTGGTGGTGGTGATGATGATCGTAGTGGTGTGGCGGCGGTGGTCCGTGGTGGTGGTGATGATGGTGTCCATGCCCGCCCAGGTGCAGGCCTAAGGATATTCCGAACAAGCCCCGATCCTCGTGATGTGGTGGCGACATTTTGTTTATAGGTAGCGTAGATTCCTTCGTTGTGGCGATAAATTCCTTTTTGTAGAGTTAGTTAAGACCTCCTCTCCGTGGTTATAGAGTGCGAACTGTACGCTCAACTTGACGAATTGCCCTCTTATATACATCAGATAATGTTATCGCTTGTTTTGTTCCATATGTTTAGATACGATTTTTTCGATTGGTGTATCTTATCGAGAGGGGTGTGGTGCAGGTGACTCAATTGGGGATTCACTGTACTCGATCACTCCAACAGTCCAATTGGATCGTAAAGATTGTCTTATTATTGTTCAAATTCATGAGTAATACTCAGCCACTAAAGGTTTGGTGGCACGTTGCATGGTTCCATTTCAAAGATACGGATGTTTATAATACACAAAACATTTCTCTATCATTTATTTTTATACCCGTAATTCTAAGAGATAAGATTTATGGTCGAAAACCAACCACTCTGATGCGTCCCCGAATTATTGTCAGATGGGACTATTAATATACCTCCCACCCCCTCCTGAATTCAGTGCTTGCTAATTCTCTCGGTAGCACACTCTGCCTCGTGAGTGTCTTCAGGGGGAGAATAAGTTTAAAGGGCGTGAAAAGTGATGTAGAAAAATGTAATGTAGAATGCACATATACTGAAACTGAGGCATAGAAGCTGCGATGCTAACTCTGTAACACTCTCAGCAAAGGTATGTTTAATAAAGAGCAAAAAAAGGGGAACCAGAGAAAAAAGAGGAAACGAAAACCAGAACACACTAGAGACTCCAAACACAGCCCAAGAGGTAAACAGCAACAGAGAGACGGCGTGGACGGCTATATGGAGATTGGTTTGATGGGCTTGAAATTCGCTTAGTAGCACTCTCTCTCTCTCTCTCTCTCTGGCAGCCTTCCCTCATGTGAAACCGACTTTAGTGCGTGACAATAACTTTTGCCTTTAAGCCCTTTTAATGGTGAGCGGGGATGGGGCTCGTGTGGTGGTGCGCTGCGGTGGAGCGCCGATAAACTGCGTTAGAAGTTATAAAGCGATTAGAATGTGTCTGGGGTGTTTCTTGGGGGTTGTCGAGACATGGACAGAGATAGAAGAAACAGAAATGCAGATGAAGAGGGAGAAAACTAAGAAAAAGAAAAACTTTGCTGCTGTATCAATTTAAAGCGGAACAGCGGGGGTACCAGGAGGATTGGCAGTGGAATGGTCGGAATGCAGGTAATAAATAAATTTGATTCTATGTACTTTCGTCTGAAATAACTTCTGCAAAAAGTTTGATAACATTGGCTGTGAAGAGTAAAACGTGTAACATTCATGAATGGCGAAGGGAACCACAATTGGGTAGGCAAGGGGGAGTAGAGTTCGCAATCGAGTAATTCGGAAAGAGAGTTGTGATTTGGGAAAGCAATGAATGAGGAGAAGAAAGTTCAAAAGACACAGAATATTCCTCACAATATCTTAAAACTATCTTTACAGTTTATTACCACTTAGTAGTCCCACATCCCCCCCAACACCCCCCCCCCCCCACCACCCACCGCCATTTTTTTAGAGGTTGCTTCATCATTTTCATTTTTATAGGAATTTCGCGCAGCCAAAAAATGTATCTCTCCCTCAAAGATATCACTGTCTGACTCATAAGAAAGCAAAATACACAAGCCCACAGAAAATCAGAGCCAACCAACCAGATTCAGTAAATCGCAAATTTTCTGTGCATTTTTCTCCAGCTCCACTGACGAGGCGAACCAGACAAGCAAATACAAAGATATATCGTATAATCGTATATAGTAAGTGTGTACACACATACATACATATGCATGTACGTATGTACGTGTACATATATATAAAAAGAAACCATAAAAAAATGCAACAGACCATAATAATTTCAATTTTTTTGAGCATTTTCTGCTTTTGTCGTAACTCTGCTCTGCGTGCCCTTCCCAGCTTCAGATACAGCTCCAACTCTACCGCTCGCACCATCTCCATCGAGGATTCAGGGTCTGACTATGCAAAAATGCAGCAGCCAAAGAGCATATAAAATTATTATGTGACGAGGAACGTGAAGGAAATACGTGGACAGGGACACTGCTCGGAGGCATTTCTGGTCTCGGCCAAAAATCAGACTCAGCATGTGCACATATTCTCGTAAAGCTCAAATAAACTCGAGATGTTGACAAAGGGTTAGAGGCAGAAGCGAAGAGGAGTCCCACCTCTAAACGTGGCCAACCGAAAGTGGAAAGTGGAATTTGTATGGAAAGTGTAAACTCAACCAGGAGGAGGCCCCCCGTCCAAATGTGGTAGTGAACGGATTGTGGGTAATAGCCATTTTAATGGATGTTAAATTAAAATATTTCATTAATGGAACTCGTGAGCCTTTTAGAAATATTTGTTCGTCATTTTCGGACGTTCATATGCTGTAAAGAGATTTCTACTAATGGAGAAATATTTCCGAGTTCCTAAGACAGCCAATACACCAATGCAGACTTGGATAAGTACGGTATTCATTTCTTGTATAATTAAAATGGAATTACAAATTTTTCATGCTCGATTTAGCTCTCTCTCTTTTCCCGTTGTTCACTCTGCTAACAACATGATGCATACACATATACATACATATGTAAAATATGTACATAGGAAGGCTCTGCCAATTAAGTTTTCAATTTCCGCAAGTTAACTTCAAATACTTGAGGGGCAGCACAACCCCCGCAGAAACAAAACCTCGAGCATGGACATGGTCTAGCCATACGAGTGAGTATTCTGGAGTAACTCCAATCATTCTCTCCACTCCATCCCAACCGAATTTGTTGACATTTCATTATGCATAACCCACCCCAATCTCGAGATGGTATGGGATTCTCAGTTTTCGGGGGTTGCAATTTCCTGATTTTTGTTTTGCCTACACACGTAATAAAAATAATAATAATAATATTTTTTCTTCTCGGTCCCCCGATCCTACCACAACCCTCCTCCGAAGTGGAGCGTGTGTATAATTTACGATAATTGCCCGGAAGTTGTGACAGATTCAATTAAGTCGGTGCTTCACTGTATCAACAGTTTCCACTGATAAAACTCCCATAAATTGAAACGGACCTTAGGGATATTTTTGGCGTTAAATTATTTTTAGATTCCCTACCGGATATCCTAGATCCAATCCCATCCCATCCTACATCATGTATGTGATGAAAAAGCAGTTGAAAAATCATTGCTTATTGTTAATTTATTTCCCTTTTTGCTGTTGGCTGTTGAAATTTCCTTCGCTTTTCGCCCATTTTCTCTCTCTCTCTCTCTCTCTCACTCTCTGTTTCGCTTTTATTGACTTTATGGACTCGTACACGGATGTGGCATTTCCGGTAAGAAGTCCCAGTCCTCAGCACCCCCGCCATCCTAAGCAGAGAAAGGGGACATTGACCATAAAAGAGGAAGAGCCCCAGAAAGCAGAATACAATGTGGGACAGAGAGAAACATGGACGGACGGAAACATATGTATGTACAAGAGAATATAACAAAAGCCTCAGTCAGAGCTTTTTAAAGCGCCTTGCCCTGAGCTTGTGATGAACTTTTATTTGCATTGCAGCCCACACAAGAGACAGGTTGGGGTAGCGGGTAGAATATATCACCATGTACAGGGTGTAGACAAGTGAGCCACAAGTCGATACAACCGCACAACACACACAACACACACACAACCATTTCAATTCATTCATTTAGCCCATAAAGCCACGATGTCGTCTGATGCATCCGACGAGGGGAACTCTTAGAGAGCCCCTTTCCCATCACGCTCACCATGCACATAACCACCCGCACCAGAATCGATTTATGGGCATTTCCGGGTTGAAATCACTTAAAAGAGTTTGTCGGAACAAAGACGTACACTCTGAGGGACAGACGAGGAGGGATCTGCTTGTTAGTTCCTTTGTGTTTGGGTTTTATGCTCTTCCTTCCGTTTTCTTTCCCTTCCTAGCATTGGAACAGACCTAATGCATTCTTGGGGTCTGCCCAAAAATGTTTGCAAAGAATTTGTAAGCTTTATAAAATAAATATTCGGCTCTGGGGACTAGCAGGGAGAGCCACAAGACTCTTAAGGGATGATATTACACTCGAATATCTTTTGACTCATCTCTGGGCACGCATCTTTGATTGAGTTATTGTCGAAGTTAGGGGGAGAAACATCCATTTGTCGGATAATTTGACCGATTGAAAGACACCCTCGAGTCAAACAAAACATGTAGGGGAGAGAGACACTTGTGAAGTAAATAAATCTAATATCTTTACTTCAAAGATTATCGAATCTCTCTTGAAATCGAATTCTTGCAATCATAATTAACTCTCATTTTGAACAGTACCGCTACCATCCAAGTACGATTTTCCCATACTTTTCCAAAAGCACACAGACTGAATGGTTACTTCAAAGGCATATTTTCATGCAAGATTATCCTTTAAGCCGTTTTTATAGGCTGATCCTAAATGAATCCCAGCATTTAATAGTTATTACTTATCGCGAAACCTCAAAATCGACCCTACTTTGAACCTAAAATCAAAGTATCCTACCCACATTAATCGCACATCCAGCTATTAGTCTCTTACTTTCTTACCAGACCCTACTCGACCCCGAAGGCAATCCACAAACCCGAGCCCAAATCACAATTATTTTTGATGGAAATCTTTGGCTAACCTTTTCGGTCCACACCCAACCTCGCACTTTCTTGGCTGACCCATTTTCAATTTGTTAATTTCGCCAAAAAATGTTGTTATACCTGGTACTCGAAGAGTAAATAGGGTATTTTGTATTTGTGGGGAATAACGGATGTACATATGTAACGCACACAAGGAAACGTTTCCGACCCCATAAAGTAAAACCATGTCTGTCTGTCCGTCCAACTGTCCGTCTATTTTGACGTCCCCAAAGTTTGTGTAAAGACTCATACGATATCACACTAAATCAAGTTTGTTTCAAACGCCCACACAAAGGAAGAAAATCTACTGTATCCAAAATTTTAAAGACAAAAGAAAACTAAAGATGCAATTCCGTAGGAAATGACCACTGATCATGAGATCATCGAATTGTGATTAGATTGGATCATTATTATAGCGAGAATGAAAAAATTAATTTTCAGTGGCT